ACTAATTAAACCCTTTTCAATCACTCAATAATGGAATTGTAAACAAAAAATAAATAACATTTTTAACTGTACCTTGCCTGATACATGCAGTGCATTGAAGCTGAACCAATTAAACCAACCCACTTCTTTACACACTTACCTCATATAGTTAATACAAAAGATTTTTTCTAAACTTGGATCATGGGCCATTTACCTTTCATAAGAGTCAGTGTGGGGTTTAAATAAGATAAACTATTCGAACTTGTTCTAATGAGAACTAATAGCCTCAGGCCTCGAACTGATAGCCTCAGGCCAAGCCCCTCTGCTATTATTTCTCATAAAACCCAGTACTCATAGTTTATCATAGTTTATGAATGATAAGAAGATTCAGTGACTTTCTATAAAATTACAAACTGAACATGTTGCTATACCACTGGTGGTCCACTCGATTACGCTGGTTACCAAAACGGTTCGTTTTGGTAACAAAATGTCGCAACATCGAAGGTACGATTTTTCTTTTTTCCTTATTTCACACGTTGTAGGCAGAATTCCCACAACATTTTTTACACAAACATGTATCAGTATCATATGTTTAAGAAAATGTACATATTTGCGAACAAATAGTTCAGGAGACAACAGAATCGTCGATTTAATTCCTCACTTAAGTTACATAAACGGTTTTTCCAAAACCAGTTATGATCTGCACTTTTAACCCAAACCGTTTATGTAACTTAAATGAGGAATTAAATCGACGATTCTGTTGTCTTCGGAGCTATTTTTCCGCAGACATGTACATTTTCTTAAACATATGATGCTGATACACGTTTGTGAGAAAAAACGTCGTTGGGATTCTGCCTACAGCGCATGAAATAAGGAAAACAGAAAAATTGTACCTTCGACGTTCCGACATTTTGTTACCAAAACGAATCGTTTCGGTAACCAACGTAATCGAGCGGATCACCAGTGTATACTTTAGACGACTACCTGGTTGTTATTCACTAAAGGGAGTCTCATTATAGGTTGGCACATAAAAATGCTTTTGGGTTCCCTGGCTGCCACTTGGTTTGGGGTTGTTGCTTTTAGGGGCTGTAATTAGGAATAGAGGTTTTGGTTCAAATGAGGGATCCCAAACTTATCTGTAGGCCATATGCCTATGTAAAAGTAGAAGTAAGCACATCGAGAGCACTCATAAGCTGCCTTCCTACTACTTTTCCCTAGGCCTATGCTGTAGGTCAATCGATGGAATTATGATTAAACTTAGAGGTGCTGTGATTCCAGGGATTAATAAATGCTGCATCGAATATAACACCATTGTAATTAAGGGCAATCTTGAGTGGGTTTGACCTAGGATGAAGAAACTATATAGGTGACCACGGGCTTTGAAAGCACATAATAAGTAGTATTCGCGAATTCAACTAACAGCTGCCAGATCAACCTACTATTTTATGCCTCATTAAATATTAATAATACATGCCACTATTTCATTCATATTATATTAAAATGAATTTGCCATCAAAAGTAGGTTAAATCATCGCCTTTTACCCAACATATGACATCATGAATTCTTTCAAAGTGCAGTCTAATACTGAGTGAGCCAAAAATGTAGCCCTGCTACTGCTCTGCTAAAGTGCTATTTCTCATAATAAAACCTTGTTTAATGTTCTTTCATTTTATTAAGTTTAATTGGCCCTGCCCAAATAGTCGGGATTTTATGGCTATAATACGAAACATGGTCCAAAATGCCAGCCTCATCTCATGACTACGGGCTATCTCTGATATAATGTCAACCCCTACAACAAGTTGGAGAAAAATTTCTGTGACCGTGAACTTCCAACCTCAACCGACCAGTGCAGGTCTGCCTGATGGGACGAGGCTGAAATTTGTAGAATGGCCATAGAATTGTGACTATGAGAAATGGACCCATGAAACATGGTAAATCGCAAAAAGATATTACATCGTAAAATTGACCAAATATGATTTCAACTCATACTGGATGAATGAGTTTATACCATTTATTTTGATAGCATTTTTGTCTCACCCTGTAATTCATTTTATTTTCACACTTATTCATTTCAGCCTGCCCAAACAAAATCTAGGTTGAATAGTCAAAACCAGGTACATGTAATTACAAAGAACTATTCAGGATATAAATAGCTCTACGTGAATGACACAACTGTTTTATACACAAACAATATAAAGTAAAATACAGGATTAACCCTATCCATAACGCTGAGTAAGTCACTAGCTGAGTGTTTGAAACATTGTAACAAACATATTATTGTGACACTTAGCTGCCCTCTATTTTGTTATTGTATAATATTAGTATGAAGCACTTAATAATATCAGAAAAATTAGGAAAAAATCTAAAAAAAAATATCAAAAAGTAGGTTCATAATTAACTTTTCCCCTTTACAGTTTAAATCATGTCTAAAAGTTCAATACAACTTTGCACTAAAAATTATTAAAAAGGCCTGCATTTTTGGTGAAAATTGCGTAAATATTAGGGAAAATTGGTGAGGATGGGTGGATTAAGGACAACTTAAGAGATAATCCAATTAACTTGATTATCATCCTAATGTCATTTATTGAAGATAAGACATGGATCTAACAGAACCATTTGATTTTGTGGTTAAATTATTCTTCGAACTAAAAGATATAGCCCTTTGAAAATGGCTTGCCATATCTTACATGCTCCTTTTGAAAATAGGTTAATAAATCCTCAGGGGGTACTGATATATCTCTAATTATATTTCCTGGCATTGCATTAATAAGTTTACTTTAACAGTACAAAAGGGAGAAAAAATCCATCAGGTCCATAATTCTACACGTTCACGTACAAGTTTATAAAACGTGTATCTTAAATGTATTTAGAACTACGCCTTTGTACCAGCGACACACTTTCACAGGTGCATCTTTACAATGAAACACAATAACGAAAATTGCAACTTTGGGATCTTGAAAAAAGTTAGCAATATCCTTCCTGGTTAGAATAGGTTTCCACGTACAACTAGAAACACATATAAAATAACTATCTATACACCATCAATGCAAATATATGCTTTCTTCCATTCTGATACTCATAGCATCTTTCTGTTTCACTTGATGAAACACAGGGCTAGAAGAAATGAGATGTCATGGTTTATCATGATGGCTTTCTTCGAGATAACATATTGGGGGCCTGGGAATGCGGGGTGTTACATTCATTGCAACACACCTTGCAACAATGTCTTATGAGGGTAATTTCTTATATTGAGAAGTTTATCATCTATTGAAATTAAATACATGCAGCTACAAAAAGCGAATTTGTTTGAGCAGTCCTAGATCGACATATTATAAAGAAAACAATATTTACAACGTGGTATTCTTAGTAGACTGTTCAATTTGGAATTTCGAAGCTTTGCCAAACATCAGCTTTCTAACAAAGATCATTAAAAAAGGATTTTTTCAAAGTCTTCCATGCAAATGAAGGTGCGAATTCACATTAACAAATTAAGATAAGATCCACAATATGTTATCAAATGGTTAAATGCGCAAAATGTGTAGAATTTTTTCCTTAATAATGTGTGAGGAGACCTTTCAAGCAATTTTCGAAAACGTAGTGAGAACAAGTTTGGTGTAGAGGGGAGGGGGATATATACATAGTCTCTCTAATGCCTAGGCCACATATGCGCCTGATTTCTAAATCAGTTTCGACAAAAATTATGTAATTCGGCAATTTTAGTTAGAAAACATGAAGGTACATTATGTAAAATTTTGAAGACAATTGGTGCATATTTAACAAAATACCAGCACCAGTCCTGTTACTTTTGGAACACCCTGTATGTCACCATTTCTGGCAATGTCTGGAGGTGGTAAAAAACTAAAATGAATCTGATATACACATAATCACAAGTGAATCATCTATAAATACATCACTCTCATTTTAATAATGACAATTACTCAGATGCAAGAAGGTAGTTACCAGTTTCACCACCAGGTGACTGATTCAGGGGAATTAACATGGCAGGGTATTACAAAATTCCCTTAAACTTGAATATGCATCAGTTTTAGTGATTATCTTTTCATATTACCCTTGTGTATCTGATAGTTATACAAATTAAAATATGTCCAGTAAAAGAAAATATTATCTGCCCAACACAAGAAAAGATATTTCTCTTTTTGTGGTTTTACAACATGGGGTCTATGGGGGATCTCCCCGACCTAGAGGTCACATTTTCAAAGAAAATTAAATTTTCAAAGTTGATAAACTCTTTTCAAAACCACATTTTTAAATGTAATTTTACGTGTAGATTCCAAATATGACATCAGTTTGACTGAATTTTTAATGACGTACATGTAAATCAAGATTATTTCTACTCGCATCTGGGCTATTCTAGATTTTGATTTATATCAAAAGTGTTCAATTCAACAGGTGCATTTGGATTTGTGAAATGCAACCTGTGTAAGGGTAGGTTATCTTATAAAGGTAAATGACATTCTATATAAGTTGCCCTAGTCATTCCACAGTTCCAGGTGTTATTTTGTGGAGCCCATGTCTTGCCACATCACAAGTAGAAATGACTTTGACAAACCTTGGACATCTTTCTTTCAGTCCAAGGACTCTAAAATAACAAGAATTTGCATTGTCTGGAGCGTAAAATTGGTTATTTTGAATGCCGCCTCTTGTATTTTTCATCTGCCTCTTGTACACAAAGTTACTGAAACCACTGCTCTGGCTGCATTTTTGAATGCCTGTGGCGCAAGTCAATTGCTTAATATTTACATGTGTTATCTCCCGGTATCACAAAAAAGATCAATAGGCCCTGCAAAGTGAATAACATGGTCACAAGTTTTCAACAAAAAGAGCTCATCCAAGCACTGCTGGGCTTATTTTTCTTTTTCATGATACCATGGGGAGAAATCTTAACAAATTTTGCACAACTGACTTGCGCCACGGGGGGTTCATAAAATGCAGCCTAGATGACCATTTCAAAAGAGAGTATTTAAATTGAGGTTTTTACAGTATTATTTGAACTATACTGTTACATCTTGGAAAGAAAATTTCTTGATGGCATACTTATTAGCAGAGCTAAATTCTCATCAGTCCTTTGATTGGTCAACCCCATCTTGGTCACCACAAAATCTTTTATGGCTTGATTATCAAGAGTCTCCGGCAATAGTATTGCGTAGGAAATATCTCTTTTCTGATCTAATTGTGATATCAAAACTGCATGTTTCACAATATGATGTATGGCATCTTGTTCACTGTTACCATAGTAATCAGCGCGATATTTCAGTGCAGCGGGGCAATTTATACTTGTCCCAAAACTTATTGATTCTACCTGCCCTCTTTTATCCCTTGTTGCTAACATTGTCGAATCCTGTAGGAAGAGTGGGTAGTTTGATGCATACTGGATCATATATGGCTCCCAATTCGCTATGAGAAACCCTGTAGGGAATAAGCTGGACCAATCACAGTTCTTTAAGGCCACCACACCCTCTTCAATACTGAGCACATGTATTTTCTTCAATGCGTCAATTAGGTCTTCCTGTTTCTTGGATTGGTTCTTTAGGATTTGGTTCAGGTCTGTTGGGTTTGTATCAAATGAGACTCTTGGCTTGAGATATAAAAAGGAAATAATATACATGTACATGTACAGTTCTTGATTCTTTTTTTTGAATGTACTGTGTATTAGTATAATTTCAATATCAGAACAAATAAGGCCCGACTTAGGAAATATTAGGTCAATAATTAGACAATAGACATGGGATTGAGAGAGGCTCAAAATGTGAGGATTTTAGAGCAGAAATGCAAGAAGAATTATAAAACTGAAAAGCTATTTCTTGAGTCAACTTCAAAGATGAAATTGATGATTTGACCATGGGCATTCAATAAAGCCCATGATTTGATTGAATATTATGTATGAAAGCATGTGAAGTTAAATTCTTCTTTCAGTGGCTGTTAAGTATTTATCAAGTATTTATTATCATTAATTGAATGTCAAGTAAGTGTACACACCCTCTTCATAACAAGTTTCTCCTTTGGTCGTCTTGGTGGAATCTTTGAGATAACTGGCCAGTTTGCACTGGTGTAGTGCTCCCTTTGTAACTTGGGGTATCTCTCTTTTAGGATGCTCTGTAGGTAGTGGCCTAAAAAGACAAGTCTGTTGATAGATACAAAATGAAATCTTTGTGATTATGGTAAAAATGAAATGAAATAATAAGTTGTTATTATTAATTAATTTGGATGAAAAATACATGAGTAATGTAGATTTGGAAGGAAATAATATTTTCAATGAAAAAACGTGCTTCTCTCTTCATTGAAAATTGAATTTTTCAGTGTCTGATAAGATATGTACATTTTCACGCTAGTGTTGTCGCGATTAATCGATACATCGCGATATACATCACCAAAGCTGATTCTGGCGATGCATCGATGTCTGAAACAAAACATCGATGTTTTTTAGAAAAATTAATTTGCTAAAAATCACCCTTTCTTATCTTATTTTGACGCAAATCGCTTATCTTTCTCATGTCTTATTTCATTTTCCAATGTTTTCTGATATTCTTTCGCTTTAAAACTGTTTAGCTAGTCGAAATGAACCATTAATCTAAAAAATTATTTTACTTTCATTTCACCCTTACTAGAAGTTCCCGGATGTACCGGATGTTCGGTATTTTAGTGCATTAGCGTTCGGTATTTCAGTGCACTTTTCTCGGACTTTTTCTCGATGTACATCGCGATGTGCATCGATGTTTACTACTGAAAATTGCCGATGCATCGATATACGATTATGGCACATCGCGACAACACTAATTCACGCGGTCCTAACTTCGACCGTTAATTTTAATTTTTGACCTACCAGATGTTTGAAAATCAAGGATTATGAGTCTCATACTGCACCGTTTTTTCTTCAAACTTGTTCCATTCAAAGCAACAGAGTCCCTACTTCCAGCGGCATTTGGTCTCCAGCTGTAAGAAGGCCTTCTAACAGCTGGGGACCAAAACGCTGCTAGAACGAGGGACTCTTTACAATAAAGTAATGCACCGACAGAAAGGCAATTTTGTTTTGCTTTTAATGGTATAAGTTTGAAGAAGAACGGTGCAGTATGAGACTCGAAATCATTGATTTTCAAGCACCTGGTAGGTCAAAAATTCAAATTAACGGTTGAAGTTAGGACCGCGTGATATTGTTTTAACAGGAGGGCATCCATAAAACGAGTGTGTTCATTAGATTGGAGAAAGTGGGTCACAAGAGGATAATGTTCAGGTTTTACTTTACCTAGCTTATTTGACAGACCCAGTCCTTGGAAATCTTTGTGTATTCTACCAGCCTGCCATGTTATGGAGGTGTCCCCATCTATAACATATGCCATCACAAATCCCACCTTTAATAACATGGACTAATAAGTGGAGGAGTGGCTGTTTACTAAAATATCATTGTATTATTCAGGAGGATCTCTCAATTTAAAAAAAGTAAAATCTTAGTCTTTTGATTAATTAGCATAATTAATTAAGAGATCTACAAGATATAGAAATGATTCATAATGGTTATTGAAAAGAACAATCTTTTCGTTATTCATTGCATAAGAAATGTCAGGAAAATGTTTTAACTTACTATGCGTCCATCTACGATAGCCACTCCTAGATTTCTCCTTGGGTCATTCAGATACTCATGATATTTCGAAGAAAGGTAGTCAAGACCATTATAAACATTTCTGTTAATGTCCAAGACAGCTTGATAGTCGCCTTGTGTAGCAATTCTACAAAGGACACCATCTACAGTGGCTGGTGCGGCTCTCTTTTCCTTCATAACTAGTTCTTCAAATGTATATTCTGCCCTTTAATTCTTAGATTGACTTGAAAAATATTTATGAGTAGCACACTGTAAACACTGAACAGGCATACAATTGTTAAGTGTGTGTACTTTGGCCGTCACTAGTAGTTATTATATACATCTAAATACAGTGTGACACAAAAATTTATTTTTGAATTTAGATTTCTTCCATTGCCATTATTTGAGTCATTTTTTGATCACTTTCATGCAAATTATCAATAATATATTTAATCCAATCAGTTTCATTGCATATTATTGGAAATAATGATGAATTGATTTGTTTTGATAAATATTGACATATTTTTTGAGTACTTTGGTAAAAGAATTGAAAAACAGAAAACAAATTTTCTAACCTGTTGAGGTAATGCAAATTATGCCTACCTTAGAAATGAAGATTCTATCATAATTATCCCATCGAACGAAGTTCGGAGGGATATAGAGAACGCCTCCGTCCGTCCGTCCGGGCAATAACTGAAATACCGTTGGCCCGATTTTGTTCATATTTTGTACACATATACCCTTTGGGGGTAGAAGTTCTGCTCGAAAGCCGATTTTCAAAATGGCCACTCATTTCAAAATGGCGGCCATTTTAGTGCCAAATTTACAGTAATTTAGGTGCAATATGTAAAACTGTAATAGCAATATGGTTTAGATGTAAAAAAATTATATAGGACATTAATAAAGCTAGAAATGTAGATATTAAAGAAGCACATGGCAGCCATCTTGAAAAATGGCGGCCTTTACTCGTTATTTTACGATTTTTGCTGTAACTCGAAAAGTAGTGGAGCGATTTTGTTCATATTTGGTATGTGAATACTATAAACATTGCACACTGTCTAAAGACGATTTTGGTAGAAGGTGGCCATTTTGAAAAATAGCCACCATTTTAACGTATTTTACTATAACTCGAAAAGTAGTGGAGCGATTTTGTTCATATTTGGTATGTGAATACTATAAGCATCACACACTGTCCTATGACACTTTTGGTAGAAGGCGGCCATTTTTCAAAATGACTGCCATTTTAACGTATTTTACTATAACTCGAAAAGTAGTGAAGCGATTTTGTTTATATTTGGTATGTGAATACTGTAAGCATGGCACACTGTCTTATGACACTTTTGGTATAAGGCGGCCATTTTTCAAAATGGCCGCCATTTTAACGTATTTTACTATGACTCGAAAAGAAGTGGAGCGATTTTGTTTATATTTGGTATGTAAATACTATAAGCACGGCACACTGTCTAATGGCACTTTTGGTAGAAGGTGGCCATTTTGAAAAATGGCTGCCATTTTTGCTATATACAGGGTGATCCAGAAGTAACGTCAAAGACATTGTAATTTCAAAAGTATTCATCAGATCTTCATGAAATTTGGTATACATGTACCCACAACATTTCTGAGTTACCATCTCAAAGATTGGAATTCAATCATTTCATTGGTTGAAATTATGGTTGCTATAGTAACCCGATATCGCGTAACCCGGGGCAAATTGAAGAGAAACCATAACATTTTGGTGAATTTCTCTAATTTAAAAAGTCAGTAACATTTGAAAATGTTCATTGTTTGTTTTCTATGATTTTTATATATGTTGCCATGGTAACAAATATGTAATAGTTGTGATGTCACAATAGGCATTCATAAAAAGCTTTCAATTTCTTTGAATTGCTTCCATCATCCATGACAAATACTAACATGACCAAGGACACTAACCCACCCGATTCAAGATGGCGCCAAGTCAGAGTAAAATAGAGCAAAGAACAAACATTAAGTTCTGTGTAAAGTTGGGGAAAGGTGTAAAAGAGACTATAAGACAGATAAAGAAGGCATATGGTAAAGCTGCCATTGCTGAGAGAAACATTTACAGGTGGTTTAACAAGTATTCCAGTGGATATGATGAAGTGGTAGACAAGCAGCGAGGAGGCAGGCCAGTGTCGTCATTCGATGATCAAACCATCAAAGCAATTGAAGCTGATGTTATGGACAATAGGCAAATTTCTATCAGAGAATTGGCTGAAAAACACGATCTGAGCTATGGGACTGTGCAACGGATACTGACAAAGAACTGTCTGTTAAAGAAGGTGTCTGCTAAATGGGTGCCGCATGACTTGACAAAGGAGCAGAAAGACCGGCGTGTTAAGGCTTCAAGGGACTTTCTTGCAAAATATCGGAGAGATGGAGATGACTTTCTTAACAAGATCATTACGAGTGACGAATCATTGCTATCATTCTACATCCCAGAGACCACGCAACAAAGTTCATCGTGGAAACATGACAACTCCCCAACACCAACCAAGCCTAAAATAGTACCAGGAATTCCACAAAAGAAACAAATGGTTGTGACATTCTTTGACATTAGAGGAATGGTGTTAACCCATTTTGTTCCCATTGGCCAGAGAATTAATGCCGTTTACATTGCAAAGGTAAGATATCATTTGTTCTAATAATACATCATACTGTGAATTTTATTTTTAAATTAAAGTATTTAAATGTTGTTCACTGTCAATATAATTATAACTCCATGGCCATGATTCAAATTCAAATCCAATCAATGAAACAACTGGTTTAACAACCATTAAACATTTGTTTTTCAGGTTCTGAAGCGTGATCTTCAACGTTCCCTGAGGAAAAAGCGTCCCGGACATCTGCAGCAGTTTATCTTGCATTGGGACAATGCCCCTACGCACACTGCAATCCTGACCAGCAACACAGTCCAAACACTTGGATTTCAACAACTTGAACATGCCCCTTATTCACCTGATCTTGCCCCCAGTGACTTTTATTTGTATGGGGAACTAAAAAGAAACCTTAGTGGAAATAATTTTCAATCCTGTGAGGAATTGAAAAATGCTGTAGTACTAGCCCTACAAGGAATGAGTTCTAATGGATTTAATTCTGTGTTCAAGGAATGGGTATCCAGACATGAGAAATGTGTTGCAAATGGTGGCAATTATGTAGAATGAACTATTATTAGTAACTGTGCAATAGTATGATTTATATTGTTGTGAAATAAAATGTTGAGGATATAACAATTTCAGATCTTGTTGATATTTTGAGATTACGCATTACACGTTAAGTAATTTGCCCCGGGTTACGCGATATCGGGTTACTATAGCAACCATAATTTCAACCAATGAAATGATTGAATTCCAATCTTTGAGATGGTAACTCAGAAATGTTGTGGGTACATGTATACCAAATTACATGAAGATCTGATGAATACTTTTGAAATTACAACATCTTTGACGTTACTTCTGGATCACCCTGTACTTTGTAAAAATGCCATCCATGGCTGTTCGATGGGATTCACTACGCTTTGGCGTTGCCGTTGTTCTGGTTGATAAAGTTATTCCAAGGTAAGAGAGGTGCTTTTGTTTTGTGTCGCCCTGATATGAACTTAACCTCATACTGCTTACAATGTTTTCATTGAAAGCCCAGTGCTCAGTGAATTGTCAAGCCATGTGTTTAAATTTTTTCCCTTATTGCAAAAGATTTTGTATTGGTTTTGCAAGCTCTGACCTTTCAACTTCCATAAGCACCTGTCTTACTGTTTGTTTTTCAATCAATTCAATCATCTGCCTACCTGAAATTTTGAAATTGATGGGGGTGCCCAATTTCATTGAAAAAAGGCCTTTACTCAGCTGTTAAATATAGAATACATGTACACATTGTATTCTGATTGGCATGGCATGTACAACTAGAAACACTATATACACTAATATAAAATAACTATCTATACACCATCAATGCAAATATATGCTTTCTTCCATTCTGATACTCATAGCATCTTTCTGTTTTATCTGATGAAACACAGGGCTGAGAAGAAATGAGATGTCATGGTTTAACATGATGGCTTTCTTCGAGAATACATAATGCGGGCCTGGGAATGCGGGATGCCACATTCATTGCAACACACCTTGCAACAATGTCTCATGAGGGTAATTTCTTATATTGAGAAGTTTATCATCTATTGAAATTAAATCGGGTAGCTACAAAAACCGAATTTGTCGACATATTATAAAGAAAACAATATTTACAACATGGTATTCTTAGTAGACTGTTCAATTTGGAATTTCGAAGCTTAGCCAAACATCAGCTTTCTAACAAAGATCATCAAAAAAGGATTTTATTAAAGTCTTCCATGCAAATGAAGGTGCGAATTCACATTAACAAATTAAAATAAGAAATATGTTATCAAATGGTTAAATGCGCAAAATGTGTAGAAATGTTTTCCTTAATAATGTGTAAGGAGACCTTTCAAGCAATTTTCGAAAACGTAGTGAGAACAAGTTTGGTGTAGAGGCAGGGGAGGGGGATATCTCCCACCTCGGTCTCTAATACCTAGGCCACATATACGCCGGGTGCCTGCCGATGAGTAGTCATCGGCCGATTTCTAAATCAGTTTCGACAAAAATTATGTAATTTGGCAATTTAGTTACAAAACATGAAGGTACATTATGTAAAATTTTGAAGACAATTGGTGCATATTTAACAAAATACCAGCACCAGTCCTGTTACTTTTGGAACACCCTGTATGTCACCATTTCTGGCAATGTCTGGAGGTGGTAAAAAACTAAAATGAATGATATAATCACAAGTGAATCATCTATTAATACATCACTCTCATTTTAATAATGACAATTACTCAGATGCGAGAAGGTAGTTACCAGTTTCCCCACCAGGTGGCTGATTCGGGGGAATTAACATGGCAGGGTATTACAAAATTCCCTAAAACTTGAACACGGTGTTATAGCATGACAGATACGACAAGGCAATTGGCCAAATTTTGGGTAACGATAACAAAAAATGGCGGACGGGAAAGACAGCATGTCCTCTTTTTCACCTGTAGGCAAGATTCACAGGTATGCTTTCCTTTTCAACTAGTTCCATTCGGTGATGCATATGTGAATGGTTATAAAGATTGAGTTAAATCTGTCGTGTGGTCTACAAGAAGCAGAATATAAGCTGTAAACCTACCCAGCTGAGATTTCGAAGTTCATAATTTTTAGTCCTTTTTCGTGTTTTCTCAGTATATGTGCCTCAGAGCCACTCAAAATACTAACTGCACGTAAACTGTGTATAAACAAGCCATAAAATGACAAATGCAGAACAGAAATGTGGTGAATATTGTAGATAATGAGGTTTCAATCGCAAGGTCGTTAGACAGATACGTATGTATTGCATGCTTTTTTATCTCACCATCGGTGGGATATAGTCGTCATACTGGTCGTGATCGTGGTTGTGATCGTGATCGTGGTCGTGATCGTGATCGTGGTCGTGATCGTGATCGTCCCGCTTTTTGTCATCACCGTTTAAGGAAAACTGCTCATCAGATTTTCTCCAAATTCGCAGAGATGATAGAGCATATGAAGTACTAGAGCTGATTAACTTTTGGGTGGCCAACTTGTTTTCTGGCGGCCATTTTGAAGGTTTTTCGAAAAATCTTGTCATCGCCATTTCAGGAAAACCGCTCATTGGATTTCCTTCAAATTTACACAAATGATAGAGGATATCAAGTACTAGAGCTGATTAACTTTTGGGCAGCCATCTTGTTTTCTGGCAGCCATTTTGAAGATTTTTCGAAAAATCTTGTCATCGCCATTTCAGGAAAACCGCTCATCGGATTTCCTTCAAATTTACACAAATGATAGAGGATATCAAGTACTAGAGCTGATTTAGTTTTGGGCGGCCATCTTGTTTTCTGGCAGCCATTTTGAAGATTTTTTGAAAAATCTTGTCATCGCCATTTCAGAAAATCCGCTCATCGGATTTCCTTCAAATTTACACACATGATAGAGGATATCAAGTACTAGAGCTGATTAACTTTTGGGCGGCCATCTTGTTTTCTGGTGGCCATTTTGAAGGTTTTTCGAAAAATCTTGTCATCGCCATTTCAGGAAAACCGCTCATCGGATTTCTTTCAAATTTACACAAATGATAGAGGATATCAAGTAGAGCTGATTAACTTTTGGGCGGCCATCTTGTTTTCTTGTTCTTGAAATTTGTAAACATAATAGGAGAACAGTTTTTCTGGTTCATAGTGTCTGCCTATTTGATGGTGTGATCTCGTTCACGTCCTGTGCCTTGTTATGGACAGCAACGCATTGTATTAGTTTTACATTAGATGTTAGCAGACGGTTACATGCAAGAATTCCTGTCAAGTCAAGGTCCCTAGATGGATAGCTACTTGAGTATTTCCCAAGTATAAAAATTACTTAAAGTTAAATACTTAGTTTTACTTCATTTTACTTAGGTTTAACTTATATTGTCATTTTGAGTTTTTTAATTGCTTAATTATGTAAATGAGTATTACAATTACTACAGTAAGTATTTCAATTTCTCTCCTTGCATTAGTAAATTCACCATAAATGAATTACTTGAAAATTACTTAAAAATTATTCAGTAGTTCAAGATTATTTAAGTAATTTTTGACTTAAAATGAGTAGTACAATTTCTCAATACAAGTATAAGGAAATCCAAGTAATAATTTTTAAGAGTGCTTGCTTGAGCCTCTATAGGGCAAGGAAAAAAATAGCGAAAGCCAATGAAAGTGAAAATGATTGTAATGAAGAGGCAAAGTAAGAAATTAGTAACAACGAACAGGCGACGGAAGAAAACAACTCCAAATTAATTGATGATGATGTCATGAGTGACATTAGACATATATTACCATTATTACAAATCATATTCAACAGTTTATCACACCATCTTCATAATAGTACAATAACGTCATTTCTGCGGGCAATATAGTGAAATATTGGACCAACGGCCGGTTGAAAAACATTTCAATTTTGGATCACAAGCGATATGAAATGATTCGGTTTTACATATATGAACGAGGTTCGCGTAACTGTTTATCAATTTTTGGCGTATCCGCAAATTCAAAATACATTATAATGGCTTGAGTAGAACATATTAAGTGGTTTACAATGCTTAATTGGCTTTGTATGATCCTATGTAGGTTACATTTATATACACAAAGGTTGTTGCGCAATGTAGAGCATGTATCACAAGCGATATGAAATGATTCGGTTTTACATATATGAACGAGGTTCGCGTAACTGTTTATCAATTTTTGGCGTATCCGCAAATTCAAAATACATTATAATGGCTTGAGTAGAACATATTAAGTGGTTTACAATGCTTAATTGGCTTTGTATGATCGTATGTAGGTTACATTTATATACACAAAGGTTGTTGCGCAATGTAGAGCATGCCCAAACGAGGAAAAGAAACAAATAAATAAATTTTATGAAGTTTTGAATTTCAAACTCGACAGTTTTTCGCTTATTTTATGTTATCCATGGGCGTCGATTTGCAAAGACTACGTTCAAAATAAACATTACTGAATGCATCACCGAATGCGACGCTTACATAAATCTTTCATGCTTTTATTGATACGCAGTAGTAGAACATAATGCACCTACCTTAGCTTTCTGTTTCATCGTGGCTATTTTATTGGATAAATCAGTGATTGTATTCGACTAACCTCGTTTTCAGAGGTGGCGTATCCGTCATGCTATAACACCGTGTTGAATATGCATCAGTTTTAGTGGTTCTCTTTTCATATTACCCTTGTGTATCTGATAGTTATACAAATTAAAATATGTCCAGTAAAAGAAAATATTATCTGCCCAACACAAGAAAAGATATTTCTCTTTTTGTGGTTTTACAACATGGGGTCTATGGGGAATCTCCCTGACCTAGAAGTCACATTTTCAAAGAAAATTAAATTTTCAAAGTTGATAGACTCTTTTCAAAACCACATTTTAAATGTAATTTGACGTGTAGATTCCAAATATGACATCAGTTTGACTGAAACAGAATTTTTAATGACGTAAATCAAGATTATTTCTACTCGCATCTGGGCTATTCTAGATTTTGATTTATATCAAAAATGTTCAATTCAACAGGTGCATTTGGATTTGTGAAATGCAACCTGTGTAAGGGTAAGTTATCTTATAAAGGTAAATGACATTCTATATAAGTTGCCCTAGTCATTCCACAGTTCCAGGTGTTATTTTGTGGAGCCCATGTCTTGCCACATCACACGGAGAAATGACTTTGACGAACCTTGGACATCTTTCTTTCAGTCCAAGGACTCTAAAATAACAAGAATTTGCATTGTCGGGAGCGTAAAATTGGTTATTTTGAATGCCGCCTCTTGTATTTTTCATCTGCCTCTTGTACACAAAGTTACTGAAACCACTGATCTGGCTGCATTTTTGAATGCCTGTGGCGCAAGTCAATTGCTTAATATTTACATGTGTTATCTCCCGGTATCACGAAAAAGATCAATAGGCCCTGCAAAGTGAATAACATGGTCACAAGTTTTCAACAAAAAGAGCTCATCCAAGCACTGCTGGGCTTCTTTTTCTTTTTCATGATACCATGGGGAGAAATCTTAATAAATTTTGCACAACTGACTTGCGCCACGGGGGGTTCATAAAATGCAGCCTAGATGACCATTTCAAAAGAGAGTATATTTAAATTGAGTTTTTTACAGTATTATTTGAACTATACTGTTACATCTTCGAAAGAAAATTTCTTGGTGGCATACTTATTAGCAGAGCTAAATTCTCACCAGTCCTTTGATTGGTCAACCCCATCTTGGTCACCACAAAATCTTTTATGACTTGTTTATCAAGAGTCTCCGGCAATAGTATTGAGTAGGAAATATCTCTTTTCTGATCTAATTGTGATATCAAAACTGCATGTTTCACAATATGATGTATGGCATCTTGTTCACTGTTACCATAGTAATCAGAGCGATATATCAGTGCAGCGGGGCTATTTATAATTGTCCCAAAACTTATTGATTCAACTTGCCCACTTTTATCCTTTGTTGCTAACATTGTGGAATCCTGTAGGAAGAGTGGGTAGTTTGATGCATACTGGATCATATATGGCTCCCAATTCGCTATGAGAAACCCTGTAGGGAATAACTTGGACCAATCACAGTTCTTTAAGGCCACCACACCCTCTTCAATACTGAGCACATGTATTTTCTTCAATGCCTCAATTAAGTCTTCCTGTTTCTTGGATTGGTTCTTTAAGATTTGGTTCAGGTCTGTTGGGTTTGTATCAAATGAGACTCCTGGCTGGAGATATAAAAAGGAAATAATATACATGTGCATGTACAGTTCTTGATTCTTTCTCGAATGTACTGTGTATTACTATAATTTCAATATCAGAACAAATACATGTAACTTAGGAAATATTATATTAGGTCAATAATTAGACAATAGACATGAGATTTGGAGAGGCTCAAAGTGTGAGAATTTTAGAGCAGAAATGCAAGAAGAATTATAAAACTGAAAAGGTATTTCTTGAGTCAAATTTAAAGATGAAATTGATGATTTGACCATGGGCATTCAATAAAGCCCATGATTTGATTGAATATTATGTATTAAAGCATGTGAAGTTAATAGGTGAGGAGTGAAATTCTCAATTGTGCAATTTAAAGGAGATTAATAGTTCAGAGTATATAAGGACGTGTCATACCTTAATCTCTTCGTTTATATATGCCTTCAGTGAAAAAATATATATTTTAAATCATAATGAGGGACAATGATGTTTTAGACGCCCGTTTCCATGGCAACTGAATTTCACCACTGTTAATGAGGACTATTTCTATTATTAGAGATATCTCTGTCATTTTTTATCCGATTTTGATGATATTAACGCCAAATGAAAGCTTAAGGAATAAAGTTTATGATTGGTTCAAAATTATGCAAATTAGCTCATTTGCATATCAACTGTGACGTCATAACCATAATTTATATCTAATTATTGATGTTTTTTAATACTACATGCAATATAAACTGCTATTTAATTAAACTGTCATGGTAGAGTTATGATATTTCACTATAAAGCAGTTCTAGGATATCATAGCTTCCCAATGATATATAATATGAGGCTTATTAGCTTAAATTAATACAATTATGGCATTCTCAAGTTGCATATTCAAAATTCAAAATGTATACAAATTATACCGTAAATGCAATGAAAAATGTTAAATGAAAAATATGGTTTCTGTATGAATTTAATTTAATTTTAATGTATGAATTTAATTTGTGTTTTTTAATTTATAATGTAAGTACCAAATGAGAGCTACTACTCTTGATGCCTGTTTATAAATCATTAAAAATGATCATGATTGAAACACTCGTTTCCATGGCAACCATATTTCTTTAATATTAAATATATTCTTGCTTTTAAGTTGCTTAGTAATCACATTTTAATCATATTGAAACCAAGTGAAAGCTAATCAAAAAAGGAATCTTTTTTTGTTTGTTTTTGTTTTGTTGTTCTGTTGTTGCCAAGACAACAATCAATAATACTGGTGACATCACAAACAAACTGCAAATCATGCATGACTTCAGACTCAGGTTTTTAGGTTCACTGGCTGCAGAAGGGAAATGTTTCACCAGGATATTTTTCTTATTAAAAGTAAGCTAAAGTAAATATAGAGGCCAAAGTATCAAAGGATAATATATTTAAAGAAAATATTGATGAACCAACAACATAGAGTATTTCCCTTTTAATTTTCTTCTTCCTGTTTGATAGGATTTGTCATACTTTGTTATCAAGTCATAACTAGAATGCCTATTTGAAAGACAACAGAATCTTGTTCTGATGAATCTTGTTATTACTGATTTATTCATCTTTCAGATCCAACTACGTCCCCAGCACTCCCAATGCCTGTAACCTGGTAACGTGTGAATGAAAATGAGTTTAAAATTCATTAACAATGAAAGATATGACTCGAATCTATAGTAACATTATAATATCCTATTGAAATCACAAATATGGACACGAACTATCGCACCCCCTTGAGGGCAATGAAGCGATGCCACTATGATTCGCAAGAAAACATACCTCTTAAAAGGAAAAGATTGAGAACACATCTTCAGACTGATTTTTCGAAATGCATATTTTGTCAAAAAAGAAAATATAAAGGCAGCAGTACCACTCACAGGATTGAAGATGATAAATCTGGCCAAACTATTAAGGATACAGCTGTCATGAGAAATGATGAAGCAATGATGTTCAGAGTCTTAGATGTTGATCTTGTCCACAATAAAGCTTGCTATCATAGCAATTGCAGATCAAGTTATGTCGCCAGGAGAAATCTGCAGTTTTTGGGAAAGAAAGAAGAAAGAGAAGAAAATAATGATATTCACAAAGGTTCCTTTGAAGAACTTTTAAAAGACATTAATCAGCGATTGATGAATGACAGCGAAGTCTTCAAAATGACTGATCTAGTGAATAAATATCAATCATATCTCCCGGATGAGTCACATAGTTATAGCTCCTCAAATTTATACAGAAAACTAAAGAAACACTATGGAGATGAAATAGTTATCCAAACGAGACAAGGCCAAGGTATGACTTCAATAGTCAGAAAAAGAGATGTAGATATTTTGAAAGCATTCAATAATTTGAAACTAGAAGAATCTGAGGCCATTACAGAAAACACGAAAATGTCAAATCTTCCAGATTCCGCCATTACTGAACACAAGCGAAAGTGTAGTGTTATACACGAGGCTGTGGCATTGATAAGAGAAGAAGCACAGATATACACAACCATCGATGTCTTTCCCACTGTAGACCAGATGAAAATGGACAAAGTTGAAGAAAATCTACCACCACTTCTTAAAACAATGATGCTCTGGCTTGCTGATCCAAAAGCTCACACTTTGAAATCAAATGATTGCACCAACCATGTATTGAAGCGCAAAGCTTTAACACTTGCTGAATGTCTCCTTTCAAACATGCGCAAAAGCAACATAACTCCATTTACTCTAGGCCTAGCTGTACAGCTACATCATACTTATGGCAGGAAGGAACTCATTGATAACCTGCATTCTCATGGATTTTGTGTGAGCTATGATACCTTACGCCGCTTCTCGACTGCTATAGCGCAGCATGAATCAGATCAAATGACAGATGGAGTGTATGTCCCACCAAATATAAAACCAGTGTCAGTGGGGGAAATATTATACATGAGGGTGATGACAACATAGATATAAATGCGGAGACCATTGATGGAAAAAATTCCTTCCACTCAATGGCCAGGGTAGTATTTCAAGATCAAGATCCAAATGATGTTTTTGAACACATCACAATGAAAATAAATCCATCATCCGCAAGAGCCTTGGCTGTTGATGATAAGAAAAAGTCTGATCTGACTTTGCCTTTGCCATATACAAAGCCTATTACCCGACCAAGCCCTCCAAAATATCCAGAAGCCAAAGTTTCCATCAGAACAATGATAGAGAAACCAAACTATAATTCACTGTCATCTGATATAGGGTGGATACTGCTACGCATGGGGTGCAGAAGAGCTTTGCCTATGGTAAATACTATTCATGAAGCTCAAATTATCCCTTTGTGGACTGGATACAATCACATGGTTGCAGCAAAGGAACAAACTATCACTGCAACTGCTTATCCACCAATCATAGATGCCCCTCCTTCCAATATTGGAACGGTTTTTACGACTATGACAAAAAGCAAGGAAATGATGAATTATCTTGGGCAGCCGTATACTATACAAACATTTGATCAACAGTTGTATAAGTTAGCCTTACAGGTTAAGTGGGATAAAACAGAGTTTGAAAACAGCATTATTAGACTAGGTGGCTTTCACATGATGTGTTGTTTTATCTCTTGCATTGGAAAGATATGGGGTGACTCTGGGCTCAGGGATATCCTTGTCGAATCTGGATTTTACGCAGCAAATACTGTAGATCAAATGCTACAGGGAAAGCAGTTTAAGAGGGCTTTACGAGGGATAGTACTGACATATGAAGCAGTGATGCAAACATTTCTTCTATCTTTCATTAAATGGTGTGAGGAAAATGATAATGTATCTGAAATCTTGACTCATATTGATGATTGTGTCAATGCACATACAGAGGGTGGTGAGGCGATGAAAACCTCCAGAGAAGAATTTGAGAAAAGCATTAAAGATAAACTGCTTCCACAACTGAATGAATACAAAGAATGGGGCTGCAACCAATCACCAACATTTTCTTTTTGGATAATGTTCCTAGAAGCTTGTGAAACCTTTCTTGAAAACCTAAGAGCGGAAAGAGGTGGTGATTGGGATATGCATCTGACAAGTGTGGCTAGGATGTTACCATACTTTTTTGGAGCAAACAAGACAAATTATGCCAGGTGGTCTCCAATCTACATCCTTGATATGATGAACCTACCAGAAGCTGTTCAAAGTGCATTTGAAGAAGGAAAATTTTCCATCCGCAAAACAAGTCATGGGTTTAATGGAATTTGGTCAGATATGGGGACAGAAACCACTGTAATTAAAGATGCAAAGGGAGATGGGGGCATAGTTGGTCTCACAAGCAAACCACAAACAATGATCAGATGGAGCCTAACTAGGCATATATTCAGCAGGATATCATCTACTTTTAAAGATAGATGCAGTGAATCTTCAAATGAGCACATACATCATCCACAAGAGTGCCATTCTAATTTGATGTGTGACGAAGATGATGTCAAGCTAATCCAAGATCATATAGAGAACAGAATGACTAATCCATTTGATGTACATAGTCATCCTAATGTTCTCCTTAACATATCAACAGGTGTTCATGCAAGTGAAGATGTACAACGTTCACTCTTATCTGTTATCAAATCTGGTTCGATGAAAATGTATCGGTTTGTATCCTCAGCTCTTGAGGAACAATCAACCAATTTCTACCAGACGATAAAACAAAACAAACTTGTAACATTTTGTGACATGCACCCAAAATCCAAGGTTAAAACAAGGACAGAGACTGTGGCTGTTGCAATAGGTGCTGAAACCAACTTCCAAAGAGCATTAACAATTTGCGACAAAAGACCTCATGTTAACATAGATACTATGCTAGAACATCCAATTACCATAACCCCTCCTGCAATATTCCATGATGATGGAAGCATGAGGAAGAATGTCAAGTCAGACCTTGTCAAGGTTTTGCAAGTCAATCAAACGGCTATTTTCCCTTCCTCTGATCCAGATAACACATCATACATAATAGATGGAATGTGTGTTATACAGGCCATACAGGGAGACAAATTCAACAACTTTGATCAGATTGGGCAACACTTCCTTAATAAAATCATATGCTGGCTCAGACTAGCTAGCACTGTGATACTG